CCCAAGCCCGATTCCTGAATGATAGCCTTTTAAATGAGTTTCTACCTGGAGTAATAAATTGTGGTGAACATTCCCTTTTTATATGTTGGTTTTGTCCAATTCCTTATTGAAAGATTACAATTACTGGGAGCGAACTCAACCTCTACTAATAAGGAGGACAATTAAGTTTTGCAGCACAACCTAGCCCACCTGAAATCGTTTTCTAGTGAATCATGGTAGATTTGCAAGCATTCACGCATAGTTCCAGGCTGGTGCTGTCAAAACCTGATAGCATCGTCAGGTCCAACCGGTTGGTCATTTGATTGGTCCCTTGGCTAGAAAAGAGCAAGAATCAAGTTGTCTTGAAAACTAGTTAAAACTTACGTTTGACTAGTCTTGGCTATACCATTTTTGTCTTGAAAACTAGTTAAAACTTAGGTTTGACTAGTCTTGGCTATACCATTTTTGACATGTTAGTCCAGTTAAATGATGTGAGGCAAATTGGTTTGTAATCATTGTCATCGTTAGAACTTTTTTTAAAATTATTTGTGATTGGCTTCAAGAATTTTGATCTATCATTTTGTTTTATCAATGGTTATATATTCAATAAGACTATAAACCCTCAATATTCTTTCACTACTTCCAACTATATCTTTTTTTAACATATTTTTATTTTTTTTGGAGTTGCCATTGCTGAAAGTAGCACTTCCAAATATGTCTTTTTTTAGCGTACTTGTATCTTTTTTGGAGTTGCCATTGCTGAAAGTAGCACATGAATGTTTATTACTATTTCTCAATTAACCATTAAGAACAATTTAGTAAGGACATGGTCTTTGGGTGAGTCAACCGACTAACCAAAACAGATGTCTCCTCATAAACCAGTGTTAGAGATGGACACCAATAAAATGGTACTTCCACTATACTTCAAAAAAATAGATGTGAAAAAACATATCAAAAAAGTGGTTTTTATTTGAGAGAGAGATGGAAGTTGGATGGCCTGTGACCCATACACCACCATGACAGACAGTATGTTAAGCTGTAATAAAAAAGTGAATTTTTATTTTCAAAAATTAAAAATTTTAAATTCATAATCACCATAATACTTGAGATTAACAAATCCAGTTTTGGATCCAAGGTCCATTAATGAATTTTTCAGGCTGGTTTTTATATATTTGCTATCCTCACCCAAAAACAAGGGTGGCAGTGCCACAAATACATACTGCCACCCATATGGTTGGGATGGGAGGTCATAAGCGTAATTTAGAGAAATGATCGGGTCCTTTCTGGTGTTTAACCCTACTCTATAAAATACCTCTGGAATAGAGAGGAAGAACTCCAACTCATCCATGGCCTCCACGTCTTCGCCGGAAAACCTCATCCAATCGGCCGGAGAACCCACTGGGAAAAGCAGCGTCGCCGGGATCCGCCTTGGCGTCCCAGAGGATGTGCCCCACCTCCTGAAACTTATCCACCAAATGGCTGTCTTTGAGCGCCTAACCCACCTGTTCCAAGCAACAGAGCACTCTCTCTCGTCAACTCTCTTCTCCTCTCCTCCATTTCAGGGCACCACAGTATTCATTCTTGAGATTTTGACTGATTTTCCACGAAACCCATGTGACGACAAGCAGTCTTTCAAGCCAATTTTCAAGCAGCTGATTTTCGATCCACCTGTGGAAGATACAGAGGCCAAAACCTTTGCTTCCTCACGAAATGGAGATGGAGTGGTAGCCGGTTTCGTGCTGTTTTTTCAGAACTATTCGACTTTTATGGCGAAATCCGGGTTCTATATCGAGGATTTGTTTGTGAGAGAGTGTTACAGGAGGAGAGGGCTTGGAAGAATGTTAATGGAGAGTGTTGCTGGGCAAGCTGTTAAGATGGGGCTTGGAAGAGTGGAGTGGTGTGTTTTGGATTGGAATGTGAATGCAATCAAGTTTTATGAGGAGATGGGGGCTGAAGTTATGCAGCAATGGAGGATTTGCAGGTTGAGTGGAGAGTCCTTGGAGGCTTACAAGGAGAAGGGTAATGGTAAGGGAGATGATCAGGCTGTTTAGAGGGTCTCTCTCTACAGTTTGGTCAGGTTTTTCTCTCCCCAAGTTTTTGTGCTCTCTCTCTCTACGTTTTGTGGTGGTCTCATTCTCCTTTTTTGTAGTCTCTCTATCTAGAACTCTTTTCTTTTGAATAAAATCACCATACTGCATGCCTCTTTCTTCTTGCTTTTTCCCTTTCTATTGATTTTCTTAAGCTCTTGTAAAGTAGTAGGCAATGTTTGTAAAATCGAACGGGCCAACTGGCCAAGGGATTGATCGGATCTCAGTAACCGGCCAAAGAATAGATCGGATCTCAATAACAAGTAAACTGGTCGGTTCGACCGACCGAACCACATGTGTAAAATAGTGTTGATTGAAAATACTGGAAAAGTGAATAAAAAACCATTCAAAAATACATTATAAACAAATTCTTTATTTTTTGGGGCTTTTATATATTTTTTGAATTTTTGTTACGCCTAGTTTGTGGACCTGTTGGGCGGGGGGGGGGGGGTTTAAACTAAAATGCAATAGTACAGATTGATGTGAAAGACCTCCCATAGGGGGGCTTAAAATGCAGTAATGTTCATTTTTATCCACGTTTTACCAGTAGATTGGACGGGGGCTGTAGTACATATTGATGTGAAAGATCTTCCACACCATGTTCATTTTTATCCACGTTTTACCAGTAGATTGGACGGTGATGAAGATGAATGGGTTCTACCAATCATGTCATCCACTCCCTATATCACCGTTCAACCGAATTTCATAACATACTCAGCAATTAATGTCCCAACGTGAATTTGATTTTGGACTGAAAATAATGGGGTAATAAGGACATTAGTTTTTGTAGGGGATGTATACGTTTATAACTTCAAAAAAGCAAATAAATATTAGTGCTTTTTGCTCAAAAGTTGTATTTTAATTGTTTTCGGCCAAGCCTATTCAAAAGGCGTTATGTATCTCAGTGAGCCATGATTTTTTAGAGGAAATAACACAATATATAAACGGGAGGTAACTTTTGATAGGATTTCTTGGAATACGATAAAATAGAATCACTAATAGTAATATACACAGAATCATTGTTCTCATGGCCAATGGATCATATAATAATAATTATTGTTCTCATGGCCGATGGATCATATGATAAAATAGAATTGCCAATTATAATTCATAAACCTTGATAGTCCAGGGTGTAGTGGTTGAAAGAGGGGAACAACAATACTATATAATTTAATGTTACAATTCTAGGAGGTCCGACAATTCCTATGGTCTTAAATTTTGATAACATATCAAAGAGGTTATAATCAAGTGTTAGCCTTTCAGATGAAACTAGCTTGAAAGTAAGTACAGAGGTGGTCCCTTTTACCAAAGTGAAAGTGAGTTCGCTTGAAGGGCATTCCAGCAAGAGGAGATTAAGGTTGGTTTTCAGCTTTGGTCCTAGGCCTAACAGCTTCCCTATCACCTTCTATAAACAGTTTTAGGAGGCAATTGGATTAATTTCATGATCGAAGAGTTCCACTGGTGCAGAAGGTCAATGCAATCACGAATGTGCTATGTTCATTACTTGGTGCCTAAGAAGGGAGGTGTTGACTCAATAGATGACATTTGGTGGCTGATTAATTTGTTGGTTATCTATTTAAGATCTTTAGAAGTATATCTGCCTTGAACCATGGGCAGCACTAAGTAGAGTTTTATCCCCCCCCCCCCCGCAAAAAAAAAGCTTCATTCGTGAAGGGAAAAAAAAGATAAATATTCAATGGTAAACTGGTATGTCCTGATCCTCTAACCACATCCCAAGTATTACATGTAGTAAACTGGTATGTCCTGATCCTCTAACCACATCCCAAGTATTACATGTAAGATCAAACTCAATAGGTCAGAATGTAAGATCAAACTCAATAGGTCAGAATGGGATCTATAGAAAGCTTCAACAGGTCAAAATGGGATTACCTATTTGCGATCAAATAGTTTATGATCTTCTTTTGACAAGGGTGCAAATGTAGATCAATGTTGCCTCCAAACAACCCACTTCTTTGTTCTTATAAAGAGGCATGTAGCAAGCAGAATGGCTCCGTGTGTACAAGGTTGTGGTTTGCCAAAAGGGTTTCTAGATGCCATAAAGTGGGCTGTTGAACTCCCACCTGCAATAATAAAGGCTCAAATGAGGAATCTCATGCTCTTTCTATGGTGCTTTGAAAGTGGTGTGAGGCCTTCAGTCAATATGGATAAAACAAAACTAATTGGTGTCAAGTTTATAGAAAGATGGACAAAGAGTTAGTTAAAGTGATCAGATTTGAAGTGGAAACTGTTGCTCCGGTTCTACATTGGGTTGAGAGCTTTTAGGATCCCATTTATAAGAACAAAGAAGTGGGTTGTTTAGAGGCAACATTGATCTACTTACACCACTTGTCAAAAGAAGATCATAAACTATTTGATCGCAAATAGGTAATCTCATTCTGACCTGTTGAGGCTTTTTATGGATCCCATTCTGATCTGTTGAGTTTGATCTTACATGTAATACTTGGGATGTGGTTGGAGGACCAAGATATACCAGTTCACTATTGAATATTTATTTTTTCTTTTCCTTCACGGATGAAGCTTCAAGCGGGAGTGGGTGGGGCAGGGATAAAACTCTGTTGAGTGCTGCCGATGGTTCAAGGCTGATATACTTCTAAGGATCTTATATAGATCTTCAACAAATTAATCGGCCACCAAATGTCATCTATTTTCAACATGGTGTAGTCATTGATTGAATCCAAAGAGTCTAGTCATTGATTGAATCCAAAGGAAGCTGGACAACTCGAAGGCCAAATGCCTCTCATTTGAGGAGAGGATTACCTTCATCAAATCTACCCTTGCTAACCTCCATGGTTGATTTATCCCTTACCTCCCATTCCAATGTCACTGAGAACGTCTATTAAAGGCCTCACGAAAATTATTTGTGGCAAGGGTCGAGTGATTTAAGAAAATACCATCTGTTCACATGGGAGGAGGTATGCAAGTCAAATATATTACGGTGTTTGGATTTAAAAAGTGAAAAAAATGAATGAGGTACTCCTTAGGAAATGATGATCGAAATGCTTTGTGGAGCTTGTGCCAGTGAATAAGTGTTCAAAAAATCGAATCGGCCTCAGAAGCTGGCTAAGGACTGGGTCCAAGTGACTAGCAAACCGGCCGGCTTAACTGGCCTAACCGGGCATGTTCCGACCGGTCCAAAAAGTGTAAAAAGAACAAAACAAAGATAAAAAAAATTAAAAAATGAAAAATATTTTTAAAGTATGATTAAATATAGCACATCCAAATGAAGTTGAAAAGTAGTGAAAAAATAAGTATTCATGGCCAAAATACTTTCTAAATTTTGCCAAAATGATAAAAAAATATATATTAAAAAATACATTACAAACAAACTCCTTATTTTTTTAGATTTTATATCATTTTTTTTAATATTTTTAAAAATATCCGATCGAACCACGAAAACTGGCTAAAACCAGAATGGCTAGTGCTCGGTTCCAATTTGATCAGATGGTTCCGAATTAGACCAACGGAGCTAATTCTAAGTTGCACCGGCCGAGTTTGTGAACACTGCTGTGAATAGAGGTGGTTTTTGGAGTTAACTGTAGGAGTTGGTTTGTAAGGGGCCTAGATAGTGAGGCAAAATGTTAATGGGTGTGGCGAACAATTAAAACTTGTCGATGCTGCACCATCTTGAACTTTCATATGAGGGAAGTGGGTAATGTTGAGCCATCACCTAGGCCTTAGTTCTTGGTGTATCCCTCAAAAAAGTCTTACATGGAAGGATGATATCAAAAAACATTTTGCACTTTTATGTAAGCAAAACAAGGAGTCAATGACGACCTTTTTCTTATGGTTTCTTTTTACTAGTCGTATTTGGTCCTTTGTACTAGGGTTGTTTTGATATGCAATAAGAAAACGTCTAATAGATGGGCTTCCACCACTGCCCGACATGCGTTTGATGGTAGTTCAAGTGCAAATGCTAGTCAAATAGGGGTAGGAGAACTCTTATAAGACCAAATTGGTCCAACCAAGGTTTAAATACACAATTTGTGGAGCTGGATTGCGCTCAAATTTCCAATTTGGTTTGGTAGATCGGTGATTTAGATCCCTGAACATATCATTAAAATATTAATGATATGAAAAAAGAAAAAGTGGGCTAAGTTTTGGCCAATTCTCTAACAGAACCCGTCGATTTGTGTGGTGAATCGGCCAGTTCCGAATTTTAACAATCTGTTTGAAACCCATAGTTAACTTGCGAGTCGAATATTTTAATCAACTGTGACTCTAGTGCTGAATGTCTTTTCAACTCCCCAACAAAGGTATGTTATTAAGACATTATAATGATTTTCTATATAGGTTTTGCAAATGAAACACCTATTGCACTAAAAAAAACTCCATTTTCGCACTCTATCAATGCTTGGAAGCTGCCGAACCAAATAGTAGAGATAAGGCTCGGATGATAATAATAAGTGGTTGAAAGATATTTTGATAAGCTATCTATGTAAACTATGAAACTCTCAGCTAAATAGCCTCGTCTTATATGGCCTTTGAGGGTTTAGTTTTGTGCCTCCATGCTACTAGACCACTAGCACCTTGTGGTGTAATTTATCAATACCCATCAAACACCAATTACATTGTGATTTTATATTTTCCTTTTTTTTCTTTTTTTGGGATCCTTTCATGTCAATCTTATATGCGACTGAAACTTGGTACTTTTGTTAAGGAAAGATATACAATGAGACCATTTACCTTTAGTACAATGTGGTCACATTTAATATTGACCATTTGATGTAATTGAGTGGTTACATTTATTCCATTGACTAGGCTCAGAGTTCAAAATGAATTTTTTCGATCTTTGTAACACACTCAAGCTATAGAATTTCACACCAAATAATTTTAAGTAATTGTGATTTCCTTGTACCAAATATAAATGGTCTCATTATATATAATCACATTTGTTAAACAACTACATTGATCCTTATTTCCTCAAGTTCCAACCAAAGAAAAAGTAGTTTGAGACTATATAGAAAGGGAGAGAATCAAGATCCTGAACCAAACAAAGAGAATGAAGATGTGTGAGCAGATAGACTGTTCTTCTATACATATGTAGATTAGAACCTTAAGCTTCAGTAAAATTAAATACAAGGGTGCAATAATTTAAGGGAACCA